GAGCTGCAAAAGTTCAGATTTTCTAACTTCAGCGATTTGAGCCTCAACGTTCAGATCGTTTAAATCGTGCTGCTCTAATCGTACTTGAGGCGCCGCAGAACTTCCCGACGTTGCTTGAAGCGCGTCCACCATAGACTTTGTATGTAAACCTGCTGCTCCTGACGCTGAAATCACGTTTGGTGTGAACGCACCATCAGTGGCACTAGTGGAAAAGGGGCATTAGTCTCCCTCTGCTGCTGAAGAGACACTGATGCTTTGTCCACTTGGACACTGGACAACAAGTGGACATGAGGACGTGTCTTTTTGTCTTTAAAGCAGAGCTGTTGTGTTGCTGTGAATCGACCATGTCCAAAGGCTGGACGGAGCTCACGTCTCTGTCCACGTTGTCCCGCTTCACTTCCTGTGTCCTCAGTCAGACTCTGGCTGCTGTCGTCCTCTCACTGAGTCTTCATCAGAGGAGTCTGGAGAGAAGCTTCTTCTCACAACATCTGTCTGTAAACARAATACCTCCTCGACCACTGGATGTTTGTCTACAGCTGACTGGTGTTTGGAGTGGGTCCCAGTTAGGACGGCTGCTGCAGACAGCTGGACTCAGAGACACACAGACGTCTCAAACTCACTCAGTTTGACAGACAGTGGTGTAAACCTAAAAGGGGTGGTAGCTGAGAGGAACCCCCAACACATGGTCTGAGCTCTGATAGACAGTCCAAGATCTTTGTTTAAAATCAGACATCCAATTCCAAAAGTCTGCTCTGTTTGTCTGTTAGCAAAATATCTCATGAACCAGTCAAAGGATTTTAATAAAACCTTCAGGAAATAATCACGAGATATTTGTCTACAACTGATTAGGTTCTGGAGCTGACCCAGTTCTCGTTGGTCCACACAGACTGCTCACCTTAGAAAACACACAAATATGGATATGGAGCTAAAACCTTAGGTGGTAGTTGAGAGTTTACAGAGGCTRATTTTACATTTCAGCCTAAATTAACTTCATCATTTCTCAGTACAAGATGATCTGAGTTTAAAAGTCTGATATGGAAGGACATCAGCATTATTTCAAGGACTCTTTAAAATATTTGAGTTGTCTTGGCAAAATGCCCAGACTGCTTCAGAGCTTTGACATCATCTGTGACATCGTCAGGTCTTTTATATGTCAGACCTTTGGCACCATGGTGAGCCTTTAGACACTTCGATTGGTTCAGTCAGAGAAGTTGTCATCGAAACGCAGAAACTATAGTGTTGAAAAAAAGTGGAAAAAGAAGTGTTGTCTTCTTCTGAATGGGTGCTCTGAACTGTAATTTCATTGTGCTCTCTGTACGATGACAATAAAGGTCTCTCTAATGCAGGGGTGGGCCATCCTGGTCCTGGAGGGCCGCAGCCCTGCAGGTTTTACATGTTTCTCTGCTCCAACACACCTGATCCAGACATTCAATTACCTGTCAAAGTTCTGCAGTATGGAGGACCGACACTGACATAACTAGAAAAAAAAGCAGAAATATATGAATGGACCAATAAATAAATTCAATTAAAAATATGCC